TCTTGAAACCTTTGAAGCTTAAACTTCCTATTATATGCTATAGCCAGTCTTTGTTGATAACATTGTCCATGACAAAGTGTAGCTAGTCTCTTCTCATCAAGGAGATCAACATAATTCAACCGTTTTTGAATCAACTCTTATTCTTCCAATTTCGCTTCATCTAAAACCTTTAAAGATGGTATCTCAACTTCAATTGGTAAAACTGCCTCCATACCATAAACCAAAGAATAAGGTGTTGCCCCAATCAAAGTTAGAGTAGATGTTTTATAAGCATGGAGAGCAAAAGATAGCATTTCATGCCAATCCTTGTAAGTTATTATAATATCCTAAAATTTTCTAAAATCTTAAAATTTAAGTTAGGGACTTATGTGAGAGAAATTATTATTGCTAAGCTTAATAATTAAAATTTACTAACCTAAGGGGGGCTAAAAGAAAATGTGGTGATAAAGGGGCTAAGGCTGATTTTCCCTTTTTTTCCTTGCCCTTTTTGTGTGTTTCCCTAGCTCTTCACCAGAATTTTGCTTGGACAAGCTTTAATCTGTGCCTAGGTTTTTCTTGCTAAAAATTAATGTTGGGTTCTTGAGCAATGTAAGGGAGGTCGCCATTTTCTAGTACTTTCTAGTAAGAAATTAACCACATGCTTTCATCTTTGATTTGAATTAGGTTAACCTTAATACTTTAGGGTTTCCAATTTTTGGGTTTGTTTCCGTAGTTTTCTTCCTTGATTTGTTGCCCATGATCTGGCACCACCAAATCTGATCTCTTTTGCTAAAAATTCTGACAATATGACCTTGTAATAATATTTTGCCCATAACTCTTTCTGTAGCTATCGGATTAAGTCCATTATTGATTTTATGGAAAGTTAAGAGATAGCCTTATAGTTTTTTTTTTTTTTTTTGTTGGAAATTCAACCCAGTTAAGTTGTTTTCAAGGTGAAACTCTACTCCAAGTTCAGTCCTAGGGGTGGACGAAATTGGTAGCCCAACCTTATGTTAGTCTTATGACCATAACTTTCTCTGTAAATGTCGGATTAAGATGATTCTTGATTCTATAGGAAGCTAAGACATAGGGCTACAATTGATCTGTTAACCATTCCACCCAAATTGGTCAATTTCTAGGTGAAAATTTTGTTGGAAGTCTCTATCCAAAATCTAACCAAAAGTCCAGTAAAACCACTATGCGATGTGACAATAGATAATGTGGGAATATAGCAAAAAACAAAGCAAACTTCGTCACTTACTCTAGAGTGATCTGGTGTTCTCAATACTGAGCCCTGTGCAATATATGTGCTTAAGACAAACTCCATAGAACGGTAAGTTGCTTCTTAGTATTGAAAATCTCCTTTTACATATGGCACAAATGTAGCCTTATGAATGACATAATCTTTTTATCAATAAGCACTTGTGGAAAATGCATGTCCTAGTAAAGAACTGAAATGTGAAGAGCTTTCACATGACCCCTTCCATCTTCAGGGATTTTATCATCTGTAAAGTTGATAAAATTTGGTGTATGGATAGTCCTCACTACATTGCCAAACTCCTTTATATCAATATCCTTTAGCACATAAGCCTTATTCAAAATTTTCAATAAAGCATTGGTGAGTCTCTAATGTCAGCAAGAGTTGTAAAATAGAGACTCGATAAAAGCATGAAATGGCATATTTAAAGTGTGCTTAACCATTGACATTTGTGGAATTATGGGCTTAAGGGTTGTATTTTTCTACAAGTAATTTCATAATTGTTAATTTTATTCATGTGCAAATTTTGTGGTGATTGAAGGTTTGATGTTAGATGGAGAGAATTAGAAGAAAAGGACTTGAATGCAAAGAGCTGGAAAGATGAGGATCCAATCATTAAATTTGGAAGTTTGAAGGCCCAAGTTGGATTTTCCCCATTTTTTATTAAAAGCAATATTCGTGAAGTTGTCTTTGACCGAGAAAAAGGAAAAAAACAGAAGTGTCAAGGGTTCCTCACCTTAGACTTGGTTCCAACCCTTGGGTAGTGTGGCACAAAAATAGAATTATGCAAGGTTCTGCACCCTAACTGAGGTTCCAACCCTCGTCCGATGAATAATGCGGGAAGAAAATAAAATAAAATTAATTCCCAGGGTTGCTATCCTAGTTACCAAACACTCCTATTTTATTCCCAATATAAATAGTCTTTAAAACTAGGTTTAGCATCTAGAGAAGCCACATCTAGGGTTTTATTTTCTTTTTTTCCAATGCTAGAAAATTATGTCAAAATGCAGTTAAACTTTTAGCAAGGCTAGGGAGGATCTTGATTGAAAAGTTTGACTTATTATTTTATTTTGATTCCTTCACTGATTTTATTGTTTAATTTTATTTTTGAGAGATTATTAATTATTTTTTAGATTTGAAAACCCTAAATATTATATTCATTAAATTTCATAAGATTAGTCATGCTTTTTTTATGTGTAATTTATTAGATTATAATTGTTTGGTAGATTTGTTTTATGAGTTCATCCTTTACTACAATATTGTCAATTAGATATATTGTCGCTCTCATATAGCTTGTAATGATAAATCAGTTTGTTCTTCATTGAAATTAATTTCTCTCAAAATAAGAACATTAGTTATTATTATTGGTCTTCAAAGTTAAATCTCCCGATTGTTTGTTTGGAATGTGAAACATGCAATTGAGTAATAAATAGGAAGCAAAATTTATAACGGTTGAATAAATCAATCAAGTGAACCTTGAAACCTTGTTCATCATAATATGGTTTTCAATCCTCTATAATTACCATCTTTTATTTCAATATTTTTATTCTTAATCTTAGAAATCATCTTTTAATATAATTTTTCATTGTGACAACTCTTTCTGTTGGTTTAATATAGCTTTCCTATGGATTTGACACCTAAAGTTATGCTACAACAACCGCTTGGTAGAAGGGTATTAATTTTGAGGCGAGACATCAAAATTAATACGCTTCGGCTAAGTGGTTGTTGTAGTATAGTTTTAGGTGTCAAATCCACAGGATTAAACCAACAAAAAGAGTTGTCACAATGAGAAATTAAACTAAAAGATGATTTCTAAAATTAAGAATAAAAATATTGAAATAAAAGATGGTAATTGTAGAGGATTGAAAACAATATTATGGTGAACAAGGTTTCAAGGTTCACTTGATTGATTTGTTCAACCGTTATAAATTTTGATTCCTATTTGTTACTCAATTCCATGTTTCACATCTCAAACAAACAATCAGAAAATTCAAGTTTGAAGACCAATAGTAATAATTAATGTGTTTATTTTAAGAGAAATTAATTTCAATGAAGAACAAATTGATCTATCATTATGAGTTGTCCGAGAGCAACAATATATCTAATCAACAATACTGTAATAAAAGATCAACTCACAAAACAAATCTACCAAACAATTATATTATAATAAATTACATATAAAAAGAGCATGACTAATTTTATATGAAATTTGATGAATATAATTTTTAGGGTTTTCAAATCTAGAAAATAATTAATAATCTCTCAAAAACAAAATTAAACAATAAAATCTATAAAGGAATCAAAATAAAATAACAAGTCAAACTCTTCAATCAAGATCCTCCCTAACCTTGCTAAAAGTTTAGTTACAATTTGACATAATTTTCTAGCATTAGAAAAGAATAAAATAAAACCCTAGATGTGCCTTCTCTAGATGCTAAGCCTAGTTTTAAAGACTATTATATTGGGAGTAAAATAGGAGTGTTTAGTAACTACGATAGTAGCCTTGAGGAATTAATTTTATCTTTTTTCTTCCCGCACTATTCGTTGGACAAGGGTTGGAACCTCAGTCAGGGTGCGAAACCTAGCATAATTCTGTTTTTGTGCCACATTGCCCAGGGGTTGGAACCAAGTCTAGGGTGTGGAACCCCTGATGCTCTTATTTTTTCCTTTTTCCTGGTCAAAGACAACTTCATGAATTTTGCTCTTAATCAAAAATGGGGAAAATCCAACTTGGTCCTTCAAACTTTCAAATTTAATCCTTGGATCCTCATCTTTCCAGCTCTTTGCATTCAAGTCCTTTTCTTTTAATTCTCTCCATCTAACATCAAACCTTCAATCACCATAAAATTTGCAAAACATGAATAAAATGAACAATTATGAAATTACTTGTAGTAAAATACAACCCTTAAACCCTTAATCCCATAATTCCACAAATGTCAACGGTTAAACACACTTTAAATATGCATTTTCATGCTTTCATCACAACCCCCAACCAACTTATTGCTAGTCTTTAGCAATTCAAGTATGAATTAAGAAAGAAAGCATGTTGATTACCTCAAATGGATATCTAGCAAGGCTACCTAGGTATTTAGAAAAGATCACAGTTGCTATCAAGATTACTTCAATTATAACTTCCAAAAGTGTGTGTGAACTAAGCATAACCTTCATACCACAAACCACAACATATATAGCCTTAAGAATTAATCGAAGTAAAAGCCTCAACTTCATATTCTCACTGGTTAATAACTGTTTAAGGCAAAGGATTTCTGATGAGAACCCCAAAGAGAACAATGAGACCCACAACACGACAAGGGATTTCTAAACTCCAGGAAAACGAAATCAGGTTTATAATAGGACCTTGACGCGTTGTTTATGTCGCAACAAGAACCAAAGGTAAAAACCTTGACCCGCGTTGTCTATGACGCAACAAGAACCAGAGGTATAAAGTTGGTTGACGCCATACTCTAAAATGATTAAGAACAAGAATGATAAGTCAAGTTAGAACGCCACAAGAATAATCTTGATAAGTTCTGAAAAGTTCTGAAACGAACCAAAGAGAAAAGTCTCTCAAAAACTCAGATTCAATCGCTTCCCCCAATTAGGGTTACAAGCCCTTTAAATAACGAAAAGTAATTTTAATCAGAATAGGAAACTAACACCCTAAACCCTAATTCTAATAACCACAAATTGGGCCTCAAATAAATGAATGTTCAGCCCAAAATAATACAAAAAAACATGAAAATCACTGAAAGTAACCTAAAGTACATGAAATATCAGTTTGTTACAAATTGCGACAGAATTGCGGGATTTTGACGCAAACTGTGTAATTTAGCATAAACGACCTCGATTAAGTTTCTCTTGAATCTGAATGATGTTTTCTATGCCTTGATAATCATCCAAGCTTGATTTACTTGTTGCATGTTGTTATCAACCCACATCTGCTCAATAAGGCCATTTAAAGCTTCTCGCATCTTCCTAGCTCTCGTGACTGGACCTCCTGGAATGTGCAATGGATCTCTTGACGTGGTACATGTAGGGTCATCTTGATTCCCATCACTCCCTCTCTCCTCAAAAGGATTTGTCCTCAAATCGTCACCTACATCAAAAGGAGAAAGATCAGAAACATTAAAAGTAG